GGTGTAGTGGATCAGTTTCAGGTTTCTGTTATTTACTTTATTGTTCTAAATATAGTTCTAAATAATGGAGGCCCAATTACCCTCCTCTTCCCCAATCTCCCCAATTCCTGAATCCCCAACAATCCTCAAATTCCTAATCCCCAAAAGGCCGGTGAAACACTTGTAACGCCTCTGGTGTTCCAGGTGTCCATGGGCGACGCGGATTGCTTACCATCAGGTGATACGTCAGCACGTTTACCGACTTAAGCCATAAAAAAAATGGGTGACTTCTCAATAATATTGACGAGTCATAAACCCTAAGCGATGTTATAGGCTGTACGCAATACCTACTAGGTAACTATAGGGTGGATAGAGCACTGACTAAGCAAAGAGGGTAATCGTTATTGTAATACTTGAAATGGTTTTCTGATTGATTACGATAAAATACATTGATTACTCTTATTATATCATTTGCATAAAATACCAAAATAAAACACATTCACAATACATGCTCCAAAAATTACTTATTGAATATGACACTCATTTGTCGCCCTAGTCGCCCATAATGTTACAAGTCCCATCTAATAAGTACTCTATTCAAAAGCCAGAAATGTTCAAAAAACTCCATAATTCGAAACCTCCAAAATAAAACAAGAAGAAATTATAAATAAGTCATACAAATGTGTCCCAAAAGCGCATCACGAAAAAGGTATCAAGCCCACTGTGAAATGAACTTACCTTCAGGCGCAGAGCTCACGATAAAATATGCGCGTAAAATATTTATCCTCAAAACGTGACGTCATAAAGTTTAAACGTTGCAAATTAAATATTCGACCGCCATTATTAAAATTTAAATGTTTGAAGCGTGACTTTAATTCGAGAGGATGTCAACGGACAATAAATGATGCGATGTCGCTCATGAGCTTCGACAACCATTTCTCTAGTTTGTGTTTTTTTTAAATAAAAAAGCCTATAAAAGTTTGGACATAACATAACATCACATCATTTATCCCCGGAGGAGTAGGCAGAGGTGCACATTACGGCACTTAATGCCACTGTACAATGTAACACCCACTTTTCACTATTTATGTTATGAGTACGAGTTGCACTACCTATATTATATGGCATAATAGGGGGTGAGCCTATACCGGGCACAATTCAAGACTCCGTGCTACTATTGAGACTTTAAAAAGAACCAGTAATACTTTGCCTGATCCGGGAATCAAACCCGAGACACATTGTCCGGCAGTCGCATTTGCGACCACTGGACCAATGATGGACAGTCTTTAAAAATTTAGACTTTGCAATGGATAAGTCAATTATGAATTGCACGCAGGGCTTTTGGTTTACAATTTCTCCTCTTATCAGAATGGCACTTTAAGGATACTTTAGGAAAAGAGTACGCATATAATTGGCAAGAATACCCTCAGTCTAACGCTTTAGAGATTTGCATTACCTATACACAAAACGGAATTAGGTTTGTGTATTCTACTTTCAGGCTTATATCAAAAATCATACCAACTTGCGATAATGATGATGTAAAATATTCCAGTAAAGCAAAAAGATAGATAACTCAGAACTCGAAAGCCAGTTCATTATCAGTAAACAAAACTAAACACTACAAAGAAACCAATAATAAGTAGCTACATCTAAAACATTACCTCCATTGTTGTCACAATTATCTACTAACTGACTAAGATAGATCTCTGTTTAAAGCATTATATCGTGTGAACATCTAAGGTGAAGGCAAAAATTTTCAATTGAAAGAAAAGTGAAAATTTTCTAAGCAAATGGGCACAGAAAAAGCTATAGAGTACGTTGTGATGTGTTATCGCGAACTTTCACTAGTTGTCAGTATGTGATTCTTCTACCATGGGTTATACGCTTAACGACATTTCGATAAGGTCTTGTGAAGGTTTCATGTTAGCGTTTAATTGCCTCGTTGGCCGTGTGATCGCAACTGCGACTGCCGGGCAAAGGTACAGCAAAATATTACTGTTTTTTTTTATTCTTATTATTAGCACGGAGTCTGGAATTGTGCCCGGTATATGGCAATAGACTCACCCCCTATTACATGGACTCATAACATAAATAGTGAAAAGTGGGTGTTACATTGAACAGTGACATTAAGTGTCGTAATGTGTAGCTCTGCCTACTCCTTAGGGGATAAAATGACGTGATGTTATATTATGTTAGCATCAATGAAGAGTGAAAAGTCGTTGTATCTTTCTGTTGGCCTATCCACGACTGGTTTGGACGTCAATTGTCATGAAAGTCTTGAGTGACTTTTCATCAGTATTGTCTGCATACTATGTTTATTATCATGTAATTGTAAAAACACACGCGGCACATGCGTAAATCCGAGTGCGAGGCAAGATTTTTGTTTAGAAAAAAAGAGATAAAAAACATCTGTTCTCTTTACATTAAGTTTTCACCTTATAATCAGAACACGACAATTTGACAGCGTTTAGTCTTAAGGTAGCATCTTCAAAAGCAAATGGCTACGAAAATCGTTTATACTCGAAAGGTGTTTTAACGTTCGTAAAGGCTCTCAGTTCACGTCTTGACCTGAGTAACGGCAATTACATGTGCATTATGGCGGGGCAAACATCCGCCATATTGGATGTATGCGTTATAGGGCCCATGAGAATAAGGAATATGGAGCCCTAAAATGTACTTTGTTTGTTCAGGTAAAAAATGTGTAAGTTTAGTTTTGTTTTTGTGACCAGATTAAAATTAATCTTGTTTTCTTTCTTTTGAAGAGAACACTAGGAATAAATAAGGACATCTCAATAATATGTATCGAAATACTCAGATTTCGTGATGATACTGAGAACTTTAGATTCAAAGAACACGATGAACGTGATTTTTTTTTAATTACTCTTTTTATCAAAGTCCTAGTGTATGCTGCAGAAATTAGACCAAAAAAGGTCTTAGAGAAAACCACGAAACCAAAATGAGAATGTTAATTAGTTCCAAAATTCTATACTTAAATTATGGGCAAAGTATAATAAACACGCCCGCCCCCTCATTACACGAAACTGGTCAAAAATTCCCATTAGGAACGTAACACAACAACAAAATATTGTATTTAATTACATTGTCAAAACAAAACAACATCAACAATAAGTTTGCTACATTTTATGATGTTTTAAATGAATACATTAAACAAGTAACAATACATCAAGAAACAAAATAAACAAACAAATAATATATTTTTAGGACGCAATGTACAAACAGCGTCAGTTTAGGCATCCTTGTTGACTTATGTAGAACGGTTATGTCAGCTAATGCTGATACGCTGAAGAGTAGGTTGAAAAAACAAAAAGTATTTGCAAAAATACGACGCGGGACTAAAGTACACCATTTTGTTTATATAAGAACGTATGTTTTCAAACAAATAGCGCTATTTATAAGCCTTTTTGGTGCAGCGGAAAAATATTTCGTGAGCTTTACCACTCCCAGTCAGTTTTAGAAATATTTTGTTGAATTTCGTTGTGGTTCGTGTATTTTTCGTGTGTACTTTTTAGGATGGGTAATTAAATACTTGATGAGTTTAGTTAGTTGTTTAATAATGTAACTTATGCTGTTATTGTAAGGTTTATTTTGGAACATTCATTTTCAAATTAACTGTTAATAACGTACTTGTAGCTTTAAAACGGTAGTACTATTTTCTAACTTCACGCCGTTTATTTCCGAAGGGGTGGGCAGAGGTGCACATTTCCTATGGCACTTAATGCCACTATACAATGTAAAACCTACATTTAACTATTATTATGTATGTAGTCCCGTGTAATAGGGGGTGAGTCTATTGCCATATACCGGGCACAATTCCAGACTCCGTGCTAGAACTGAGAATATTAAGAAACAAAATTACTATTTTCTAATGCTTGTAAAAGCATTATAAGCTTAGCAAACTAGACATTTCCTATATCGAAATCACCACGAAAAAAAACCAAAAATGAAACTCCAATATCGCATCGTCCAAATATCTTTACACGAAGTTCGTAGCACAGTAAAACAATGATACCTCTATTAAACTGTCAAACACCAAGCGGACACCGGTGACCGCAACCTATTGTTCTATAATTGTGTCTATAATGACGGTACTCGACGAGTTAAATATAGTTATAAAAACTTGTATACATTGCAACCCACACAATTACTTCACAAGGTCTTAATTTCATTAACGCGTACAAAACCTATGTGTAACTCATTAGACCTAATATAGACAAATAATAGTTTTAATGATAGTTCTAGTTATCCGGAACTCGGAAGTGTAGTACGAACTAGATAACAACACCGAGGTGTTATTTTAATAACTCTTCGTTTCTATTCATAGAAGCGACCGCCTTTATTTTATACTAGCTTTTACCCGCGGCTTCGCTCGCGTTACAAAATGATTAAAAGTAGCCTGAGTGACATATACCAATATACACAGCGCCATCTATACCAATAATTTCGTGTTCCCTCGAGAATATCAAATTTTTGCGAAATAAAAAGTACCCTATTATTTAATCCAGACTTCTAACTTTACGTCTGCAAAATTTCAAAGCAATCGGTTTAGTAGTTACGGCGTGAAAGTGGAACAAACAAACTCACTTTCCGATTTATAATATTAGTAAGGATGTATTTTATATTCTTTGTAAATTACTTTGACATTAATTAAAGATAATTTACTAGATGTGGACATTAATTAAAGATAATTTACTAGATCTGCCAAGTATGTTCACTTACTGGTCTCATTTAGAAATAAAACTGCCTCATTCAATTCATTAATAATTGAATTGTCTTCCATCAGGTATTTTCTAACAACCATAAAATTTACAGAGAATTGAAGCGGTTGGTTGGCAAATAATTATGTAGGTAATTTTTAAGTAAGTTATTAGAAATGTTACCTAGATTCCTCAAAATATTGTTATAATCATAAAAATCAGTCTTAAAACAATCGTAGTTGCCCAAAAATTCAGAAACGCAAAATTAGAAAACAACGCCATCTATGAATGCATAGTGGAACTTACCCGTTGCGTGGCATAGCAGGAGGGGTCGAGACCGCCCCCAGGTCGGAACATCGCCGCGCTGACTGCTGCCATCTGCCGGCTACCTTAGTATACCCTTCCACCGCGACATCGCTCTGAAACAATAGAGCCTTCTGTGAGAAAGGTAACAAGGTTTGTAGTCTTATTAGCTTACTAGATGCCACCTGTACAAGAATCGGTGTAATGAAACGTATAGAAGATTTACGAATATAAGAAAAGTTTACATTGCATTGATAAAATTTCAATAATCACGTACTGAACAGTATCCATTTATTTCTAAACAAAATTTTTGATTTTTTGCGTGAAAAAATATCTCAAGAAGAAGATTGTCATACTATCGTCGGCTAACTTCTGTTTACTGAACATAACCTTCTCCAATTGATCATAAAAACCATAAACATCCCGATAAATATCCCACTATTAGACCAAAATATCTTCTTATAGTGCAACGAAAATTCTCTAATAATACCCAAACAACCAGTAAATAAACTAAGAAATACAGACAATACCCTTACCGAAGCTACGTTTAAAACCAACGCACCGCCAACGTAAGGCGCAAATATCGCACATTTACGACCAACCCGTTTCTTCATAATGCCGGCGCCACATACGTACGTACTGATTAGTTGACATTGTGTGGCTTGGGCTAAACAACATCAAAATATATTACCATTAAGTACTAGTAGAATTTTTCACAGTTTATTAGAGTGAGTAAACCGATATAATTAGCTAATTTAAGTACCTATGTCTTACGATATTTATTACAAAAATATATCAAATGCCCGTACCAGACAATGTGAATACTTATAAAAAACCAAGTTCGCACATGTGTGGCGCCGGCATTATGAACGAGTAAGGGCAGTTGCTCACCGGTACTGGTAAATTAGTACCGAACAACGGGAAGTATGACTCATAAAGGCAATCGGAAATGAAGGCAATGAACTTAAAGGGTTTTACGAAATGAGAAATTTAATATACGGACTCTATTGTGGATGGGCTGTATGAATGTACTCATTAGTGGACTTTAGCCTTTCTTTCAATATAGACTAGGTTTGAATTTCTTAATTTTCTTGGTGAACGTTGACAGAAGGAATGTTATTCTAATACAAAGATGTGAGTAATGGTTGTTTCAAACGGTTCCTGAGTTTAAACAAACCTGTAGAACAACAAATATTAGGACAAAAAACTTGTTTAGTAAAGAAATTAAAGAGGAGTCCAGCAGTAAACGGCAATAGGCTGATGATGGTGGAAGAAAAATTTTAACGTTTTCTATAATCAATCAAAATTCAAAATTGCAATCTAGAAATTTATCTAAGCGAAGCTAAAAACCTTATAAAATTGACGTTGTCGGAATCATAGTAAATTATCTACTGACTAGCTTCTGCCCGCGACTTTGTACGCGCAATCCCGTTTCCTCCCGTTCCCAATAAGATTTTCAGGATTTTTTCTATCATAAGAACCTTCTCCTGACAATAACAAACACAACAAAAAAAATCAGCCAAATCAATCTCAAGCTATGGCGTGACAACGGGAAACAGGTTTCATTTCTATAGGTATATAGAGGTATACCTAGATTAAGAAATAAAATTTAAATCACCTAGACCAGTAAACCAATCTATCTTAATCCATTACAAGTGATTGCTTGTCTACAAAGTATACAATTATAGCGTACTTTAAAGTTCAATAAACGAACCTTCTTGGTATAAAAAAGTTACAACTTCACAAGCCACGATTGTGCAGCGCTGGCGCATCCGTATGACGCGCCGCGTCAGTGCACTTCGGGTCAATAACCCCGCTTCCTAGCAGAGACAATTCCCACACAGGTCGCGGTAATGAGTGTGTCAGTACTAACTAGTGATGCTACTTTAAGACCAGGAGCTTATCCGATCCCGGGATTAAAAAATAATAGTTCAAATTTCGAATGACAGAAAGTGAATTCTAGAAGCTAATATTTTTGACGATGGTTATGACAAGTTCCCTTTTATAGATTATTTTCTGCTTAGCCAGATAAAGTAAGAAGAAAAGTTTTTAGGTTTCTTTATTTTCCAAAAAAAAAATTCAAAATTCAAAATTCTTTTATTCACATTTAAATAGAGTTGCATTTTTTTTTAAGCGGGGAAAATCATCGAATGACTGCTCCCACCTGGGTGAGGCGGGAGGGAGTGTCAGACTCTTACTGACTAAAAACCACCCCGTTCCTTCTCCTGCACGTCGAGCCGGAGCCCCGGTTACCCGTTAGGTTCTCCGCGACAAATAGAGTTGCCTACCTTACCTACAACTATAGGAAATGTTTCAATAAAATAAATTGATTCAGTAGGGAAAGCTATATCGCGTCATTTACATACAACTTTAGCTTAGTGGATATTGATAGTGTTGAAGTAATTGCAATAGAAATACGGAAGTTAAAATAGTTACCGGTGAAATATCCAATCGTTAGTTCAGAGTTCAGATAACACGAATACACAACGTCACAATATTGTTTGGAGAAAGAAGACTATTTTAAGATGATCCCTGTGTTAGGTATGAGTTGCATAATATTGTACATGAAAGAGGGTGAGCCTAGGCTTTGACTGACTAGAGATAGTAGGTATTATGACTAAAATAATTACAAAAGATAAAAACCAAAACAATGCATTAACTTACGAGTTATAAAATTACGAGTTACTCACTCATATATACTGAAAAAATCTCTACTCGTTTCGAGTCACAGAGGGACTGTTCTTCATGAGCAGCGTGCGCTGTCACGGTGATGTCGCGCACCGTCCAGTAAATTATAGTTAAATTCAGCATGTCTCACAATAGTTATTATAAAAACAGATTTACACACATTCAATTTTGCGATTACACTCGGAACCATTCGAATACCAAGTGAATTAAAGTTTCATACACTAGCACAAGTCCCGGAAAACGGGAAACTATGCACAGCACTAAACTATATACAATAGTACATGTTACACAAAGGTACTACTCTAACCTACAATAGCGACATTTAAGCTACGTTTGTTTATCGTAGGCACTATTTATTGCATGGAAATGTATCTAGAAAGTTTCGTTCGGCACAATATTCAACATTTTATAACTGTAATAAAATTAATACTCAACACTGATTTCTATTTATTAGACATCCATCTTTTGCTTAGAAACAAGAGTACTGAAAAAAATGGCTTGTAGAATCAGATTTTGCTTAACTTCAGATCGTAAGTACAATGTTATTGTGATATTAGTATAATTAGACATGTATTGGGTTAACTCGTCGAGTACCGGTTTTGTAGACACAATTACAGAACAATAGGTTGCGGTCACCGGTGACCGCTTGGTGTTTGACAGTTTAAGTAAAATAAGGTTTAGTGATGATCAAAAAGTTTATAGACTGAATTGATTGAATAAAAAAGAACTAAGCACAATTGAGTAGTTTCCAGGTTACTAAAATTAAAAATCTAATTAGTCCGTCAGTAAGATAATGAAAAAATATTCGACACGTATTTTTTTATTTTCTCGTATTAAGTTGCAATACTTAGATAAAATGGCGCTAAGTTTAGAAGTGGGAGGTCGTTACGTCATAACGTGCTACAAAATGTGGCCCACTGTGACATCACACGATATTTCAAATTAATATATCGTCGAAAGTATTTAATTTTGTGAGAAAAGAACAAATACGTGTCTAAAGTTTTAAATTAATGTAGGTACCAGACGGACATTAAAACAAAATTTAGGAAACTACCCTATTAAAAAGCACCGAAAAATACAAAGTTTCGGGAGATCAAACAGTTTTGATTACTGAATAAGCAGCATTCATGGAGCATTCTAACATGTTTATAAGTTCACAGTTTAATGAAATAAGACATCGAACTAATGGCGAGATAGAATAGATCCGAGTCCACTTAATTACGCCAAAATTAAAAAAAAAAACTGAAAATCTTCACTCATGAACGCGAATACTAACAATTACAATCTTTTCAACTGTTTCACATTAACGTAGGTTAAGTTTACAACAATTACTGTTTAATTATAACGCATAATCAGACACGCCAGCTAAAACGGCTGCACCTAATCATTACGTTTATGGTTTGCAGTGAAGCGTGCAAACTCGTGCACTTCAAACATAATGTGTGATATAATCATATAGAGGTCACTTTGTGCTTGCATTAGAATTACCTTGTACTGGCCTTTCTTGTCCGTTGGTAATGTTTTAGGGATCAGTAGTTTTATTTGTAGAATCTGTTGCTCTCTATGTTTTCAAATCTGTGCCTTTAGCCGAACGTCACTTCAGCGCTTGTCTACAGAGAGAGTAGAAAACTAAATGTATGGGGATGACACTGACAAGTGTCAAAATTTACATCAATCCCATATAACATAGTTTTCTATTCTACATATAGACAAGCGCCAAGTGGCATTTGACTACAGCTGCTGTTGTTCTATCTTTATTGTTATCTATACCTTCTATAGATTAAACTTGCTAAAACTTGTACTAAACAAGTTTTGTTTTTCGTTTATTGAGATGTAAACGAGACTGCGTCTGGTGCTCTGATTAGCTGATTCATTCGAGCCGGCCAATCAGAGCGCCGAAAGCGGTCTTGCTTCGATTTCGAAATGTAAATAAAACTTATACTAAACAGTCTGTTGTATCTTGTGCGAGCCCCTTGCCATAGATTGTATACATTTCCAAAATCAGACTCAAAACAATATCAACTTTTGTACAAAAATAAGAAAAATTGTTCTGTTTAGTTCGAAATAAACAATGTCACCTCCGTGTTTAGTTAGAATACCAAAATATTATGTTAGACACACTGACCTTAAAGGCGATAAAACTTCCATTCAACCTAAATTCTTGTGAGAAACAGAACATGAAAAAGCGAATACAAAAACCGCACACTTATATCCATTGTCAACTGTGGCCGTGACAAAAAACAGCAAAGTACAATCAGAATTCGGGGGTAATGACATAATTGTGACCTCAAAAGAAATGCTCCAATGACATAAAGATGGAAGCGAAAGTTGGTATATGAATCATTATTGTTGAAACCAAAAGTGCACAATTTTTGCACGACCATACGATTTACAACTAAGTGACTCGATAATTTGTCTTTTTTTTATA